TGGTCCAACTGGTATCCAGGGTTCCTCATTTATGCAGCAGTCATTGTACACCAGCAGCCTTGGAGGCCCTCCCCAATGCTGAAGTATATGGACTCGCTTTACGGGAATGGCATGGCTAGAATATGATGAAGGCTTCAGAATGCAGGCAGCCATGATTCCGGCCTGGAGGTGGGACCGGATTCATTCCCACCTGTGGTTAGAAGCTATGGCGGCAGCCCGGCCTGCAGCTGGAGACCGTTCAGACAGCGGTCATGTGGTGCATAGGCTGCAGGGTCCGAGTTCGGCCCGAGCTCCCAGTGGGCAGGCACCCCAGAAGCGCCCACTTTGTTGGGAGTTTACTTCACAGGGCACGTGCAGTAGAAAGGTGTGTTCCTTTCCGCACGAGTGCCCACTGTGCGCGGGCCCCCATCCACTCTCTAGTTGCCCCAGGTTAAGATCTAAGTCGGGCAGCAGGGGCAGGAAGTGTAATTTTGGTGGAGGCCAACAAGGGACTGGGGACAAAGGGTCCTAGTCCCATTAAGGTTCCTACGTTGCCTTGCCTATTACGGGGTTATCCCAATGGACAGGTGGGTATTTGTTAGAAGGGTTTATGTTTGGTCTTAGAATACCTTACCAGGGGGACAGGAGGCCATTAACCCTAACCTTAAATCCGTTAAGGGAATGGAAGAGGTAGTGAGGCCTCTGGCACGAGTCAAAGGGCAAGCTAAATGGCTCTTTGCCTGTGGCTCTTAGCCTAGAGACTCTGTAAGAAGCCCAAGAAGAGCCAGAAAACCATCATGCACACCAATTTTCTTTCTCTGCTATTTATATCTTTAATTTACATGGTTTCTAATTTGTTCTGTTTTTCAGCACTTGTTAATCAGGGGCTGCGGTCACACGCAACATTAGCCACGCAAGAGATACGGAAGACAAGCGGAGTTTCCGGTCGCGATCTCACCAGCACATCTGGGAAGCGTAGTGCTTCCGTGGCACAACTGAGGCTTCCTGCCGAAAAAGCGCAGCAAAAAACTAGTACCTTGGAGGTACTAGTTTCCAGAAACTGCGGGGCAAGGGCGGGCGTCTGATCGCGTTTCCGGTGGTATCCGGCGCCCGCCCATGTCCCCTTGCGGAAAAGGTTTTTTTTTCCCCCACGTCTCCGTGGATGCGCACACGCACCCAACGGAGCATGCGCATTCGTAGTGTACACAAAAAAAGAAAACCAGTTCGCCGTGCCGCGCGCTTCTTCATTGCGCGCAGGCGTGTGTTGTGATCGGCACCTCTCCCTTGCCATGGAACCTTCACAGTACCTCCACAGAACCTCCACAGTAGGTCTGATCGCTTTACTGCATGTTAGTTTGCCCCGGGGCAAACAGCCACACTTCTCCTCTGCAGTTTCCTGCCCGTGTGACAGGGGCCAAAGGTGGTTTGCCATTGCCTGACACTGGATTCCTCAGTGGTCTACCATCTGAGTAACCTACCTCACATAAATGCCAGTAAGAGATGACATGCTATATTGATTAAGAGTGGGATAACAGGGAGGTTTGGGTTTCAAACCTCCTTTCAACCACTGCCTCACTAAGTGACCATCACAAACTCTCATACTTAACTCCCCACATCAATATATTCGTACTAATACTAGCCTACCTTATCAGGTTGTTGTAAAAATTACAGAGATAGTAGATAGGAAATACTTCACAGACTGGGGGGAAAAATCCTCTACATGCTGTTATTCGGTACAGTCATACCAATTCACAAGAGAGAGCAAGAGCAAAAGGAAGAATGTTTATACATATTCCTGGCTTCATTTCAATAATCTCTAGCACTTAGTGTGAGTTCGTCATTTGATTTTTGCATTTGTGTCCCTTGTACTTCAAATTAGAAATACTACAGCCAATTTAACAAGCTCATACAGTCGATGTTGACATTTCAATTACATCCACTGTATATAAACAAAAAAAATCAATACGCTTTTGCTTGCATCAAATCTGACCTTGAAATTGGTTCATATTTATTTCAGTTTGTTTTACTCCACTCTCTTTTGCCTCCATATACACATTTAATTTCCCAACTGTTGGCCTATGATCATGGTAATGAACACCATTGTTCTATGATGCAAATAAATTCCAAAATATGCTGTCAGATGATGAAAGGGAAATATGATTTTAATTTTGTTTTACTTGTTCTTGGGTACACATCAGTAAACTAATTACGATACACCTCAGCTACCTTTTCTATGATAGGAGGATTGCTGATTACAAGTTTTGTCTTAAATTCTATTTGATGACTTAACAGTTAATTGTAGTGTAATTGCATAACCCATTTTAAGTTTTAGAGCAAAACAAAATGTGCCATGTTATAGTGTAGTATTTTGAAAAGTGAAATATCTTAATGGTTGTATAGTGTGTATTGTTTTTGCTTTGAAAATGTAGTAGCAGTCCAGATTAAGAGGAGGATTATAAAATTATGAATGAATTAAAGATAGCAGCTAGACAAAAAAAAACTGTGTCATAATAGGCGATTTTAAGTACCCACACATTGACTGGGTCAGTATGTGTTCTAGTTGAGAAAAAGAGATTGCGTTTCTAGACACTCTAAATGACTGTGCTATGGAGCACTGTGTAACAGAGTGTTGGACTGGATGGGCCTTTGGCCTGATCCAACATTGGCGGCTCTTATGTTCTTATGTGACGGCTCCACTGTGACTGCACCTCTGCACTGCTTTAAAAGAATCTTCTCCAAACAACATTCAAACAAGCATAGAGAAAGATGGCGTCACAGCAGCACAAAACTGATTTAAAAATGCAAATGCAGATTCGACCTATTTATTTATTTATTATTAACATTTTTACCCCGCCCTCCCCGCGAGCGGGCTCAGGGCGGCTTACAAGAGGGCACAAGCCCATACATAAAAACAGGATAAAACAGTAAAACCATTAAATAACAACATAAACAAGAATAAAGAATAACAAAGATTAAAGACCTGAGAGTCAAAGCTCCCTTCATCCGTTACCAGCTGTTACTAAACTCAAATCTAGCTCTTCTAGAGAAGTCTGACGTGGCTACCCTACCCACCTGAAAATTTCTTTAGCTGTCAGCTATTGTGAAGGAGGAGGGCCCCTACAAGAATGTGGCCAATGGTGTTCAATTACCTTCCCTGCCAATACATAAAGAGATTTGGCAGCTTTTACAGGTTCATGATCAGTTTTCTTATTGTGTCATAAGAAATGCCTGTGCCAGAAATGAGGCTAGAAAGTTATAAGCAAGTAATCCAAGACAGAAAGAACTAGTTTCAGTAGAAGCACCCCCACACACCCACACAGAGTCACACACTAAATAATGCACTTTTAATCCACTTTCAGTGCACTTTCCAACTGGATTTTACTGTGTGAACTGGCAAAATCCAGTTGGAATGTGCACTGAAGGTGGATTAAAAGTGCATTATTTAACGTGTGCAAACACATATATCCAGAACAAAGTTCGAGTCCAGTTGCACTTTTAAGACCAACAAAGCTTTATTCAAGGTATAAGCTTTTGTATGCACACATACTTTTTCAGATACAATACTTTGGTCTTAAAAGTGCCACTGGACTCTGCTGCTTCAGACCAACACTGCTCATCTGAATCTACCCATATATCCAGTCAGCCACCCTCCAAAATATATACCAGGCTGATAAAGACCAGTATTTTTTAAATGTAAAAAAAACCCTTGTTTGTTTTCTAAGCAACCCTGCTGGGCCCTTTTTTATTATTTTCCCTACGAAGTCAACTTTCAGAGAGCCTCTTTAAGTACAGTTCTTCTTTTGAGGGTTTCCCTCTTCGGAATGCCCCAGCTTGACACTACCGTCCTCCACCAGAGAAACGCACAGCATGTTACAAAACCAAAGACTCCAGCAGAGCTGAGAAGCGAAAACAAACAAGGCGAAAACCAACGGAAACGCGCGGGAAAGCGAAGGGAACCGGGGATGACTACGCGGAAAGCAAACAGTCTTTTAATGAGGTGGTTTCCCATTCTGTCCAAAATGAAACCGTGGAAAGCTGAGAGGGGACTCTGATTTTAAAAGCACACACAGACACACACCACCCCTTTCCCTCTAGCTTTACTTTCCCTCTCGGTTGCGCGCCCTTGGGAGACTGGAGTTTTTCTCAACGGAAAACCATTGAGCTGCCCCTTCTCTCGCTCCCCGTTACCGCGTTATGCTAGCTGCCTGCGCTATCCCTTTTCTGCCTGCAAACAAATCCGATCAATAAACAGAGACAAACGCGCTGGGGGGTGGGGGGAGAGAACCGCACAGCATCAGACTCCCGCGTTTGGCGTTCTTTCTATGCGGAAAGGAAGCCGCTCCAACGGAGGCCCAGAGCTGTCCCTATATTGGCACAAACGTGAATAAGCCCCTCGCCCAGCTCACTTCTTTATTGCCAAGCGTCTGGCGAGGAGAACCAGGGAAGGCTCACCTTCAGCTAGCCGAGCGACGAGCAGAAGCTTTTACGCGCTGGGGGGAAAAAGAAAGTACTCTGCAAATTGTCGTGTGAACGAAGGCGTGTCAAGGGGCTTTCCAATTATGGGAAGAGGAAATGTAAACCGCCGCAGAGCTAAAGGAACGTGTTAGAACTTGTTTCTTTTAGCTGAAATCTATAGGAATCAGTGCACCACCAGTTCTTAGCCGGGGCGGAGCATACCTGGCGGAGGCATTTGAAAACCCACGCTGCAAGACTATGCGTGTTTTTTTTTAAGGTCTGCCAAACATAAAGCATGTTTATACAAACAGGCCTGATTTCTGCTTCTACATATGATGCAAAGCAAAAGGCAAAGCTTTTCAGGGCACTGAAATAAACATGATTTATAATTGTCCTCGATACAGCCGCTGTTGAAAGCGCAGAGATAATGGGGTAAAGATCAGCAGTTTAAAAAACAGTATTTGGGATTAAGCTCTACTGGACTGCAGGGTTTAGTAATATGCGTAAAATCCATCTTCTGGAAGTGACCCTCTTACACACTCCCAGTATCACACATTCTGGCTAACCTGACAGAAAGAGGAAACCAGCTGGAATGTTGAATGTTCATCAAACGGCGTGGAGAAAGAATTTATCTTGCAAGAAAGGTGGCCTGATGGGAGTCGTAGTAAAAGGCGGCCGCGGGAAATAAAAGCAAAAGTTCGCGTTCCCCTATAAAAGACTACAGCTCCCAGCATGCTTCATGTTACAGCCATTCTTCCCAGCCCTGAAATAAGAGTTGCCTCTTGACCTCTCATCTCGTTCAGGTCCTCGTGCAGTTCCGGGAAGCTGCACTTTGAGTTGTTATAGTCTTTCACCTGTCTGCATAAAAAGCCAAGCACATATATTTATCATATATGCGCGCATTCCTCTGAAACCCAACCAGATACAGCGATGTAGTTGTTGCCGTTCTATATCGCATGGGAAAATCTACTTGCTGCGTTTCTGTATGTCAGCTGTTGTTGCATACAGTTACAAGTACGTTCAGTAATAAAATACTTTTTTGTATATTTTTAGGAGGATCATTCTACATTCATTCGTTTTACATTTAGATTGTTTTACATTGTGTCGTCTTCATTTCTGGGAAATATGGTCGTTGGAACTAAGTGGTTGTGCTAAACTCTTCATGGAAAAGGGATTTGAAGGAAGTGAGAGGTGGTTCCAAGTATGAGAGGCAGTAAGGAAGAAAGGGAAAGTCACTTGACCAGTGGGAGACCTTTGGATGCATGTGACCTGGTGGTAAACAATGTAGGGAGCAAAAGAGAGAGAAGTTAAGAAACCCAAGGACAGAGAGAGGACAATTTTAAAAATCTATAGGAGTGTTTCCTAAGAAGGAGGGAAAATATTAATGTCTTGGCGTCTATCCATGCCAGCCACATGACCATGGAAATGTCTTTGGACAGCGCTGGCTCTTCAGCTTGGAAACTGTCAGATTCGACTGGCTTTCGAGCAGGGGAAACCTTTACTTACTGTTAATCACGTGAGGTAGAAAATCACGTGAGGTTCAAATCTTAGTTCCATGGTGAATTCAAAGGATGGTGTTGTGCAAACCACTTAAACTGAGCTCTCCTATTCTACCATCTCCCTGCAATTCAGGGATAACAGTAGTGATCTACCTTACAGGACTGTTGTAAGGATAAGATCCAGCAATATGGGCATGCAGAAACGGACAGGCTTGTGTGCGTGTTTTGCCCAGGCTGAGAAACTCTTGTCAAAGTTCACTAGCTTTAGACTAATGATTAATACAGTACTTGGTACAGGTGTCTTGATTTTTGGTTGACTTCAAAATAATGACAGGCATGATTTTTGCTTTTGCTGAATGTCAAGGGCCATGTTAATCTTGGCTTCATTAAAAAACACTGAGTTAGGAAATCAATGTTTAAAATCAATTATTAAAAGTACAGAATGGTTGGTAATAGTGTTTTTTTTTATTTAGCAAATAATTTGTATCACTGAATATGCAAAAGCAACTGATTCCATCAAACACTGTTTATTTAGGGATGGACATGTGAAATAAAGGCAACACTCTTCCAAATAGAAAGGAAAAGATTTGGATAAAATGGTAATAATGTTCCTGTAAATATTTAGCGGTGGTGGTGTTTGATTTTAAAATAAAGCAAAAAATGAATTGCTTGTTCCTAGATGTGTGTCCAGCATGATCCTAAAACCCTGTTTCTCATGATGTACTGTTGAAAAATATTGCCAATGCAGAAAGCAACAATATTGATCAATTGTTTTAATGATATGTAAATGCCTGTTGAAATTGTTGTTTGCCGCCCTGAGCCCTGTGCGCAAGGAAGGGTGGTCTGTAAGTCAAGTGTATACATAAATATAAATAAATAAGTCCCTAGATAATACACTTAGTGATTAATGGTGCAGTAATATCATGGTTAAGGACAGGTGCAAGATCCTCCCCTTCACCACTGAACCAGTCCCTTCACAGGAACACCAAATTGTGTGAAACCAGTTTGGTACAGTGGGTAAGAGTGGCGGACTCTAATCTGGAGAACCAGGTTCAAGTCTCCACGTTCCCCACTTGAAACTAGCTGGGTGACCTTAGGCAAGTCACAGCACTCTCAGCCTAAAAATAAGCATAGCTCGCCACTTACGTGGTGCCAAACAAGCGCTACAGCTTCAACAGCCAAACTTTCCCCTGGGGATCTCCTGGCTATTCCACACACAATGCCATACAATAATTTCAATTTGTTTTGTGTGAAACATTTTGTGCAATTGCTTCCCTGCGACAAAAGGGAAAAGAACGACTTGGAGGGGGCCTCTTTACAATCAAGAGTTCCCACAGAGTACCTGATGCATGCAGGTGGCTATCTGCTTCTTCTGAATCATGGTGATTGTTATGTATGGAACATAATGTATGACTGTATTGAGCTTGAGTCTAAGCAAGGTATTGTAAACCGACCTATCAGAACAAGGGAAGTTCTGGAGGGAAGCAAAGTGATTGGTCTTTATGTACAGTATCTGACTGGATCTTATCTGACATGTGGGCGTGGCTTGCCAAGCCCAGACTGTTTAAAAAGGAGCCTGTTGCTCTATTGTTTGTCTCATTCTGGTTCTTCTGACTTTGTGTTCAATAAAGCTGTTATCACTGTTCACCTGCTGCCTCAAGTCTCGTATTTAACAATTGGCGACGAGGATGGGATTTTAGAGCGGGTAGGCAGCCTCGCTGAACCAACGCCAGGATGGCAGATGACCGAGAACCCCGTGAGGAACCCAGGGCAGAAGAACGAGACCCGGCTGATCAAGCAGCTGCAGCACTTGTACCAGTGCCTGCACACAGAGCAGTGATGGTTGTCAACCCGCAGTTCGAAGCATTCGAACCAGACCTCGAGGACTGGGATTCCTACCTTGCCAAATTTGAGTTCCACCTCCAGGCTAACCAGATCGAGGATGAGGACCAGCAGAAGGCAACGCTCCTCAGCTCCTGCGGAAGGGCTGTCTTCGATGTCGCCAAGTCCCTGGTAGCCCCGGCTGAAATCAAGACCGTGTCCCTGGCTGATCTTAAGCTGAAATTGAAGGGGCATTTAGCACCGCAACCTTTGCAGATTGCTAGCGAGCACGCGTTCTACAAGCGGTCCCAGGCAGCGAACGAGACGGTTGCTGAACACGTGTCGGCCTTGTGGAAGGCTGCACGCCCGTGTAACTTCACCAACCTCGAGGAAGCACTCCTCGACCCACTCGTCTGTGGCATGAGGGACAAGAAGCTGCAGCAACGATTGTTCGCAAGGACGGCTCTCACCTATGCCGTGCCCTACTCAGAGGCTGTCACTGCTGAGGCTGCTGAGAAGGCAACACAAGAAGTGCGAAAAAAACTAACTCCGATCCAACAGGGGGTCAAGAAATCCGTCCACCACGAATCAACGAGCAAGTCCGATGGTGAGCGTGATGATTTCAACCATTCTCATACTCTGAGGCCCAAGCGGACCCAAGTGAAAACTGCGCCGAGGCAAACCTGTGCCGGATGCGGAGGAGATCACGAGTGGGATCAATGCTGGGTGAAGGACATCGTTTGCCGTTGACTGTAATAAACATATTGTGCCGCCTGCTTGCAACGCACAGGTTGCCAGACACCCTGGTGTCTGACAACGGGACATGCTTTACCACCATGGAGTTCAGGGAATTTTTGGCGGCAAACCTAATTGCCCATAGCACGTCCGCAACATTCCACCTGGCAACCAACAGGCAGGGCAAAAGGATGGTGCGGACCACAAAGGAGACTTTGGGCCGTTTGGTGCAAGGAAACTGGGGCCAGAAGGTTACGTCCTTCCTCCTACACCAACACGTCACGCCGTGACAGGGCGGAGTCTGGCTGAGATGCTGATGGAGCGGCGACTAACTACGTTGTTAGACCGTATGTACTCGGACTTAACCTCAGCCCAGCCGCCGGACAGTGAGTCCACTGGCCAACCCCGGGTGTTTGTTGAAGGGGAAAGTGTTTATGCCAGGAACTATGGAAGCGGGCACAAATGGTTACCAGCCACAGTAACTCATGTCTTAGGGTCCCACCATTATACTGTGAGGATTACTGATGGTCGAGTAATGAAGCGCCATGTCTATCAGTTGCGCAAACGGTGGGCTGACACAGTCCCTGATTCCCTTCCCCAGGTGGCCGACGTACCTGACTTGGACAGTCAGGTAGAATCTCCGGACTCCAAACACGCTGAGGACTTCCAAGCAATGGAATCCCCAGGCATAGTCGAGGGCAAGCAGAGCCACGACTATGGACTCAGCCCACGGACTCTCAGTCCCATTAGGGATCAGGCTGAACCCACTAACAGGGAGCCCGAAGTTTTTCCTCCTACCCCTCCAACAGTAAATGTAAAACGATCCCAACGGGTCAAGCAGCGTCCTGCTTACTTGAAAGACTATATCTGTTCAAGGGTTGTCTCATCTTAGGGGGGAGGATTGTTATGTATGGAACAGAATGTATGATTGTATTGAGCTTGAGTCTAAGCAAGGTAGTGTAAACCGACCTATTAGAACAAGGGAAGTTCTGGAGGGAAGCAAAGTGATTGGTCTTTATGTACAGTATCTGATTGGATTTTATCTGACATGTGGGCGTAACTTGCCAAGCCCGGACTGTTTAAAAAGGAGCCTGTTGCTCTGTTGTTTGTCTCGTTTTGGTTCTTCTGACTTCGTGTTCAATAAAGCTGTTATCACTGTTCACCTGCTGCCTCGAGTCTCGTATTTAACAGTGATGATGACAGGTAGCTGTCTCAATCCAAAGAAAAATCAAGAAGCAAAACAGTGTGCTCACAATGATGGTGTTATATAAGCAGGACTGCTAGCTGTTCAGCAAACCCCTGCTGCTGTCAGTTTAGCTGCAGCAATTAGCAAGTGCTCATCTTTCCATGCCCTGAAAAAGCTTCACCATACACTTTTTGTATGTCAAGGTGCTATTAACAGTATTGCAAGAGAAAATGCTCCAAAAGTTCCAGAGCAAAGGGCAAAAATACAAATTATGGAGCAACTGAGATGACATCCACTTAGAATGGTGTCTTATTACTCAGAGTACAGTATAGAATTTCTTGGAAAAGTAGTGTCTTATTAGAGTACAGTATAGAATTTCTTGGAAAAGGTAATGGATATGATAAGAACAAGAAACCAG